TTTTGTGTCTCATGCTGATCGACTGACATTATTATTTACGCAAAAAATCACAAGGAGACAATATCACTTAAATCAACACAGTCTCACGAGGAAATCTGAAAATTTCCACGTCGCAAACATGACGATTATTTAGAGGAAACAACATCTTTTTCATGATATGTATATCGCTCCCGACATTCTGTTATTATACTGTTATACTTCTGTACAACGAAAAAAAATTTCTTAAAAATGTAACGATATAAAAAAGCGCAGTGTGTGATACAAGATTCTTATACATACAGTGAGTGTAAAAAGTATTCGTACAGGTAAATTTTTTTATGAAAAAAGTCTTATTTATAGAAAATAAACATTAATTAGCAATTTTATACAATAGATACATTCTATTCTAACAAAAACTAACGAGCTTCGCATGTATTCCTGATTTTAAAAGCTAAATTTCTCGACTATACGAATATTTTTGGAACATTCAAACAATACAATTTTTTATTTTAGCTTATTTTTCAAATGATATATTTTCTATAATTAATATACATCTTTTTGGTATATATAATTTTAAGAAACTTACAGTCTATTTTATTCTTTATGAATAAATTATTAATTATTCAGCAAGAAATTATTGTATCGATATCAATTCGACATCAATTCGATGACTCATTTTTCATTAGATAATACTTTACTTTTTAGAACTGAAGTTTTTAAAAAAATATTTTTTCTTTACAAATATTTTTTGCATTCACTGTATGCATTAGACTGACAAGAAAAAAAAATGTTTTTTTTGAATCGGCCTCTCAGTTCAAAAGTTTCCATTTTATGCAAAAAAAAACAAAAAAATCCTTAATTTTTATCACAAAATATTAAGATTTAGAGGTCACTAGTGAACGATTTTTGGTAAAAATATCAATTAGGGAATCAAGCTCCAATATTCTTGACCTTGACATATGTTATTAAGATCATGACCCTAAGTTACTTCCAACAAGTTTTAACCGCTGCTCGTCCTTCGTTAAAAAATTATTAATAAAAAGTTTTAAAAAATAATGTTTTATTTCTGCTATATATAATATTAAAAACTATCTTATATCCTTCCTTGCTTACGTAATAACTTTTCACGCGATTTTTATCTCACCTCCTTCCTCCCCTGCTTTAGGGGTGCACGACTTTTACATGAAGCAAAATCTTGTTGAAGTCTTTCGAAGTCTTGTTGAAGCTCAGGATCACGATTTCGAAAGTCGTTTCGCGTGGAAATAGTGAGCCTCCAAATAGGGGGGAAGTGGAATGGGAGTTGCTTCGCGTGTAAGTCGTGCGCTCGCAAGCAGGGGGGAGTTGCTTCGGGAAAGTCATGCACCCCTAAAGCAGGGGAGGAGGTGAGATGAAAATTGCTTTGCATGAAGTCATTACGTAAGCAAGGAAGGGTATAGAATAATTTTTAATATTACATAATGAGAGTCGCTTCTAATGAAATTCGCGCGTCTCCAAACAGGAGAGGAGGTAGAGTAGGAGTTAAAATTTTGATTTTGTATAGCAGAAATGAGATTATTTCTTAAACATCTACTATTTATAACTTTTTAACGAAGGATAAGCGACGGATAAAACTTATTGGAGATCACTCAGGGTTATGACCTTGACAACATATTAAAATCAAAGTTATTGGAGCTTAATTCTTTAATCAATACTTTTATCCGATTTTTAAATCAAAGTTTCGATTTTCTTTCATACATGTTGGATTTGATATAAAAATGACTTAATCCATAAAAATGGGGATTTTAAATGTAGTTTTGTATGTTTTTTTGGTTGAATATGATGCTAATAATTTATTTAGTTCTACGATATACGCCTTAAGAAGTACAGCTCGATTAAAAATGTAAAAAAATCAATGATCAAATTTCGATTTTAGCAAGGTTTCAAGTGTTCAAATGGATCATTACTCCCTTTAAATTGTATTATATAATATTAATATATAGTTTATTTCAATTAATGAAATCATATTTTTTTTATGTAGGGGCGACTAAGGCTCTAAGTGGGCACCGGGCTAAGCCATTTGAATTTTGAATGGCAAAAATATATCTTATGAATTCCCAATTTATATTATAGATGATTTCATCTTCTTCATTTCATCTTCTTTACTAATAAAATTTGGTTAATTTATGTGCCGCGTTATTATATTTAGATAATCGAACGTGTTTTCGATAGTTGAAAGTAATTTTTGAGATTTTATTTTTCGAATCACATTATTTTTTGTGTATATAGATGAAACACCAAAACTTTTTATTGTCATCTTGTAATCTTATAAGCATTCTATAAAACGCTAATAATCATTTGACTAAAATCGTTTATTTTATTGAAAGCTGCAATTGAAAAAAGTATTCACCTAGCCCTGATTCATTTCATTTTCTAATAAAAAGTTTTTTATTGTCAAATTGAGGGATTTGACTTGAGGATGTCAAAACCATTACAGCATGTTAGCATTACAAAAAAATAACAAAGTTATTGATTACTTTTTTAATAACGAATGAATAACGAAGTTATTTTTCGTAGTGAATAACAGTAATGATAACTAAATCACAATTTTCAGGAATTAATAACGAAATTTTATGTTATTTTTTTCGTTATTTCGCTAATATAGAATTATTTTAATAAGGACGCGTTCATACCTTAATGGAAAAACAGAAAGCGGAAAAACAGTGGCCAATCAGACTCACGCTGGTAATATAGTACAAAAAACCGAAATTGTCGACACTGCCTAACAGACGGACATATTGAACAATTACCTATTATTAAACAAAAATTCAAGATTTAGTGGTACAAATTAATTATTGTACAACTTAAAGTTAAGATATATATGCTGATGCAAATAAAAATATGTATCATAAAAGAACTAATAAAATAAAACAAAAATATAAATTAAAAACTTGTTGATTTGTTCTTATGTAGTTATAATTTACATAAATCATTTTTGATAAAATAGAACGAAAAAAGTAACGATTTTTCCATTACTTTAAGTCAACAATAACTTACGTTTTAAAATCAATAACGAATAACAAGCAACGAATTATTTTTTATCGCAAATAACGATAACTGTAATGTGTTATTAAAAAACGATAACTTTAACAACCTTCAAAACCACAAAGTGATATAGATATTTAGAACTTGTAAAAAAATTGTTTTTATTCTTAAAAATGTTTTATAATCTAGTTAAATGCAACTTTTAAAAGTCCTGTAGGAGATTCCGAGAAAATTCCAATTGGATCTTGTTCCTGGTGAATAGATCTATAATTTGAGGAAAATAACGACCAGGGTTGGGAAATTTAAAGCTACGAGTAGTTTCTTAATATGTATGTATAATACGTATAATACATATAAAATGTATAAAACGTACGTATAATACGTATAACATATGGTATTATAT